CACAGCTTCTGTGGTGTGCATATAAGAAGCCCAACAGGAAAACCAATACTTCAGAGGAATGTTGATAAGAATAATAGACACATCCTCACATTTATGAATTCAGGTTTTCTAGAGTGAGTTACCCAGAGTCCAGGAATTCTAATCAAGTTAAATGAATAATATCATCCCTTCAACCACTTGCATTAGGAAAACACAGGATCATTTCTACTTTGCATTTATAGCTTATTCTTAAATATTCAGATTTTCCATAATTGTTAGCTATTGTGATAAATGTAAGAATGTGAAATTATTGAGGGCCTGGTTTGTCTGACAGATATAGTTATTAATTGCAAAACACTAGAGAAATATAAAGTATCATATTAGGAAAAAGAGCAGGATAAGATTCTAAGAGTGTTTTGAAGTCAGACTGACTCCGCCATTTACTACCATTTACTTATCGGGCAATCTTGTGCAAATCTCAACTTCAGCATCCTTCTATGTAAAATAAGAATAATAACAGTACCTATCTCACAGGAGCACTATGGGAATAAAATGAGACAGTGTCTATAGAAAGCAAAGGCACATGGGATGAGATTTTAAAAAGTAAGCTATTTTTAAAATTAACACCCCCTTCTTCACATTTAGATCCATGTCCCTTTCTCCCAATATTTTTGAAATTATGGAATTTGTTTTAATTCCTCACTAACAGAAAAACTAAAAGAGTATTACTTTTATTATTCTTAAGGAAGCACTTCATGGAAACCAAAGAATTCTAAGGACAAAATGTATGTGCTGACAGAAAGCATTAGGTAGGTTGTCATTGTGATGATACATCTGTATCATACATAAGGGTAGAGACATAGGGCCAAAGACAAAGGAATAGTCTCTAAAAATGAAGGAGAGGAACAGAGAATGATTCCAAATACATGGGGTTTATTCAAAAACAGAGGTGTATTTAAGATTTTTCTTATATGATAAGATGAGGAAAGGACTATAAAAGGTGGTTCAATTCTTTAAGAACATTAAAAAATTAAAATTAATTTTTTAAGTTTCTCTGATTTTACTGCAGAATAGATTTATTAAACTTTCTCATAAATATAAAAGATGGTTTACATCTAATTTCTGAAACATGAATTAATAAAACTTAATTAAGAATTCTTCTCACTCACATGGATTCAGTGATATCAATTCCTATAAAGCATCTGAGTCCCATCTAAAACCAACCTGTAGTTTGATTAGATCCAGTCATTATCTACATAAGACCATGGTCCACCAGCTCAGTTTTCATTCATGGCCCATAATCACTCTTCATAGAATTTTCATTCTCATAAATTTCTGATCCCAGACTTCATTGTCCTGTGGCAGCTGACTCTCTAGCATTTCAGTTCCCACCCTCTCTTGCACAACTCTATGAAATATGCCCTCCAACTTTGAATCTTATGTAATACTCCCTACACCCACCAGGACTAATGTATTTGATGACATGGAGAAGCCAGGTACCTCATCCCTCACCATTAAATGACTCCCCAGAATCTATCTCTTCTATGAAATTATTCTCAGAGTCCAATCTATGACTGTCCTAAATCTCTCTTTCTGCCCATTTCATGCAAGTCTGTGTATATGCATAAACCTAGGCATTCTTCCTTCCTCTTAAAAATGTGAATTCCTTTTGAATGGGATTCCCAACTAAAAATCTTTCATGTGAGAACTCCTGTGGGACTAATGAAGAAACAGGTGGCATGTTAAGTGAATATTGACTAGTTCATTTAATTTTATTTTTAGTTTAATATTTTAAATTTTATTTTTGACTAATGATAATAAATAGAAGTAAAGCACATTTTTGGCATTAAGAATTTTACTCTGGAACCAGACTATTTCCTTACTAATGCCAGCTCTATTACTTACACTGTGTGCTCTCTAAACCTCAGCTGTTTCAAATGTTAAATGAGGGCAATAATAGTACCCACTTAATAGGATTATTTTAAGGATTAAATTAAATAATCCATGTAAAGTACTTTTAAAAAGGGCATACTACATATCAAGTACTTGATGAATGTTTGTTGTGTTGTTCTTATTACTTTAGATTATCAGGAAAGTATAACCAGTCATTTTCTAAGGTTTGAGTGTACATTTGAATCACTCATATAATGAGAGTCACTAAATTATATAAGTGTCAGTTAAGTCTTAATTCAAGTTTGTGCCTTTCCTTCAGAAGTTTTGAAATTGTATCTGATGATCAACAGCATAAAAATAAATTGTTTCTTATCATACAGCACCCAAAACAATTGGACTTGCCAATACTGTCTTTATTTCTGCCCTTAGCACAAGTGTGAAGTCATCTATCACCTCCTAGAGGTTTAATCCATTAGATACTCCAATTGCTGTCCCATCTGACTTCCTAATATTAGACACTGTCTACCCTCCCTTTCCCTATTCCTTTGACTTCCAGACACATGTCCTGCTTGTTTTCTTCCTATATCTTCCCAATACTTCTTAGTCCTTTGTGGTTTTCTCTTCCCTTTCTTCAGATAATTTTGTTGCCCAGGTAACCTCCTTTCTCACTCCTAACACTTGCCTTGGATTACCCCATTATCTCTCAAGATTTCAACATATTGATGACTCCATGTCCATCTGTACTGCCACTGTCTGAGGCCAGGCCCTCATCGCTTCCAATTTAACTTATGAAAATTGCCTCTTAAATGGCCTCCTGGCTGCCATCTTTTCCCTGCTTTAAGATTTCTCCTTCACATAACCACCAGAATGACCTTCCTGAAATGTAATCTGACTTTGTCCTCCTCAAGCTAAAGCTCCTTTCCCTTGCTGGATAAGACCTTAAGAAGGAACCCTAATTGGGGGCACCTGGGTAGCTCAGTTGGTTAAACATCCAACTTTGGTTCAGGGCATGATCTCACAGTTCGTGAGTTCAAGCCCTGCTTTGGGCTCTGTGCTAACAGTTCAGAGCCTGGAGCCTACTTCCGATTCTGTGTCTCCCTCTCTCTCTGCCTTTCCCCCATTTGTACTTTGACTCTCTCTCTCTCTCTCAAAATAAGTAAACATTAAAAAAAAATTAAGAAGGAACCCTAATTGTTGTTCAGATTATGCCTCGTTCAAACAAAAGCCCATGGTTCTAAAAGTTTCCCTGGAGCTGTATTTTTTTATTCAAATCACTTTCCAGCACAAATCATTGATTGCAGCCTTAAAATCAGAAGAGGTTATAAATTACAATAAATGAATTTTACCAGATCTCCTAAACTGAAATTTTTTAGAAAAGTAAATTACATATATATACACACACACAGTACATTGTTGTTCTTTTTGAAAAAGAGATTATAGAGTTTTCATGATGGTGAAAGCATATAATATAAATACATACACTTAAATATACTTAAAATCAGTTAGACAAAGAAAATGGGGTAATAATGAAAACTGACTACTCCATAATTTAACAACATTTTCCATAAGCTTAGATTTAGATGTATTATACATTGTAGATCCTCATATTATAGAACTGCTAACCATCAATCTTTGCTAGAAAGTGATGAACACTGTTAAGAGTCCACACATATCAGAGCCTTCTGTCAATGTATATGAACAATGTAGAGGAATGTATAGGAATTCCAAGAGAAATTGCTAAAGAAAGAGGGGATGATAGTAAGACCTGCTGAGTCAGAAGCCAAAGTCTGGATTCTGTCCTGTCTATGGCCCTACTTCATAAGACAACTAATTAGACTTTTAAGATATTACTTTTTTCATCTTCAGAATAGGGGCTTTAATTGCACAAATCTCTAAGGCCCTTGTCAGCTTTGAAATTTGAATATTAGCTGCTATGGCTTATCCACAGAATAGAACAACTCTCCTCTAAACATGCTTTGAGAAGGATAAAATCTATATTTGCCCCTTAGTCACAGTTTAAAGATCTCTTAGGTGTCCAGACTTAATGAGGTTCCTCAATCTATATTCCTGTAAGCCTCCACCTTCAGGTGCTAAAATCTTTAGCTTCTTCATCTCTCTAACTATGCTGGACATTTTCATATAATGTAGCCTGAATTGTTCTAGGCTTGAATCAATAAAAATTTAACAGAGAACTCAACATAACCCACGCCCCATGCTTTCAGGTCCAAGTAACGATACCTCCATAGTCTTCCAGTGACACACACTAAATACTTCACAAGGAAAGAGCTGGATAAGTAATTAGTGTGTGTGTTTTAGCTCCAGTTTCTTGCATTAGGGTTATAACATCTGTATGCAGTAAAGTTAAAGGGTAGAGTTGGCTCCATCAGACAATTTCAGACATCCACACCATCACAGTCATAGCAGCTGACATGTTTTTTGCAGTGGAGATTTAATGTATTGGATAGGATTATGAGTGAATTGGATTGGCTTCACCATTTTGTATCATATTTTGCTTTATGATGAGCTGTAAGCCAGAGTCTATATAGTTAGACTTGGGGGCTTAGTAACATAACCAATAAAATATAGTGAGGAAAAAACAAGGCAGCATTCTAGAGTATATCAAATGAAAAGCCATCCCAGCATTAAAAATTCTGCTGATATTTGGAGATGTCTGTCTCAGACTGCTCTCTTATAAATTTTCCCTTAGAAAGCACACCCTTGCCATACAGCTACTACTGTACTCTGTCAAATACAGGTAGGGTCCTGCAAAGAAGATGAAAAAAGAATGCAGTGTGCTTACCTGAATTATTCAAGCAAAAATAAAGGAATGCAATGTGCTTCACTTAACTCAAGCCAAGATCTCTACATTCCCTAAATCAGAGGTCCAATACTCACAGAGAAAATTCAGCAATCTGATTACAGTTTGCTTTGATTTGTAGCCTTGTAAGCTTGGAATGGAATCAGAAAATATATACACCTTGGAATGGAATCAGAAAAATGTGTAAAGATGTGATATACAGAACAAGGTAGACAATTCACCCTGTCAGTGTGAGTCCAGAAGTGTGAGATTCCTCCCACAGATGACTGGCCCCACGGCCACCTGTAACTTGAGCTCCAAAGTCACTTACCCTATGACGATACAGGAGATGGCAGTTCCCAAGAAGGCATATGTTAAAATAGATCCTAAGTTTTGAAAAAAGTGTCTCTGGGGAGAAAAGAATAGATTTCATATAGTATGTCCATATTTTTTCTTAGTGTAACAGTAAATAAAAATAAATGTATGCATTTTTACAGGCCCTCCCTTCCCTCACTGTTTAGGCAAATTCTGGTTTTGGAACCTTAATTCCTGGCCTTATTGCACAAATAAGGTTGAACTGATTTACACTGCAAAGGACAGAGGTTTCTCAAAGAAAGGAGGAAAAATGCATCTAGAAAATGACAGGATAGAGATGAGAGAAACGACTGCCAGAACTGGCTGGACCTGAGAGAGAGAGTAAAGGATTGGGCCAATGTCCATGTAGAACTCTGGCATGATTAACAGAAAATGAAATTTTTAGGAAATGTTGTTGCCAGTGAAACCCCTTTAATATTTTAAAAATACTATCCTGAAATATTTTAATTGCCTTTTGACTTACTGGATCTCTGACTTCTATTTCTTCTGAATGCAATGAAACAAAACCTTAATCATCTACAACAATTTATTTTAATGAGTCACACAAATGATGCCTAGTATTAGGACTGGGGATAAGGAAGGATGAGGTGAGTAAAACCAGCCTTCTAAGTCTTCTCAAACGTTGGCTTGGGAAAACTCCCTTCCAGTTGTGTAGTTGGGAGCTGAGCAGTTAGAAGTGACAGCAAGAGGGAGCCTGGAGTACATAAGAAAATAGGGTCTGTACTGCAAAAGCCGCCTGGCTGCAGGCACTGACAGGCCAAAGGGAGGAAGGCCCCTGGAGTCTCTGGGGTGTGAGCAGGGAGCAGAAAAGCAGCTGCACTACCTCTGCATCTTCAAACCCACACAGGCCAGAGCCTCAATCTGCGGCACAGGAGATGCTAGCACTTAAACTATCAAGGGAATTACTAACCTGTGAAATGTGCACATTCAGGTGATACTTAAATAATGTCAGGCAAAAGCACAGAAGCAACAAAACTGGATTTCCTCTCTATGAGCATCAACAGCTGAGTATTAGCAAGGCATCTTGAGTTTTTACCCTAATTGATAAGCCCAACGTCTATCCCAATTAATAGCTAACTCTGGTTACAATCATCTAGAATGATATTGTTCAATAGAGATATGATACAAACCATGCATGTCATTTAAAATTTTTCTAGTAGGCACATTATAATAATTTTTAAAAAGGCAAAATGAATTTTGATAATATATGTCTTATTTAACCCAATATATATGAAACATTATCATTTCTACATGAAATCAATATCAAACATAATGGAGGTATTTTTTGTTCTTTTTTTAAGTTCATTGAAATCCAATGTCCATTTTATACTTAAAGCATATCTTCATTCAGACTAGCCACATTTCAAGGCTTAATAGCTGCATGTGCCCAATGGCTAGTGTATTGTATAGATCAGATTTAGAAGAATTATAAGCACGTCAGATTTGAATCTGTATCACAGGTATCTAAGATAATGATATCCTTACAAAATAAATAAACCCATAAAATAATTGCTTTTTCATTAGCACTGGTAAAATTCTCTGCTAAATGATAAAAGAAGAAAACAACCACTGTATATTTACCTTCTTCAGGCTATATCCTGCATGAAATATAATTGGTGGCAGTAAAACATTGAAGAAGATTTCTGGATCAAATGTCATCTGCCAGAAAAGATAAAAGTATAATTACAAAGATGATCCTTTGGGTCACTAAAAATGTGTTTTAAAAATACAATTATAGTCACCTTTGGTAAGGTTGTATGAGGTATATTAACATGCTATTAAATTAGCACAGATGAAAATTGGAAAAAATGCAAACAGAAATTCATAAATGCAATATAACTATGAAGTAACATTTTCAATGTACAACCTATACTCCATTCTATAGCTAGCAATAATAACAACAACAATTCAATAAAACCCTTCTAGGCAAAGAAAACTCTTATCATTGATTTTGATTAGTTATCCATTCTTCATATATTAAATATCTTTATTATACATATATATTTATTTATTTTCTGGTCAAAGAAATTTTCTGGTAATGCTCAAGCATTTTAGCTTTCCCCAAATTTGAACTTTCCCCAAATAAAACATTTTTTAAAAGTTTGCTCTTAGTTTATCCTACTTTATCCCATTCCAGAGTTTAAAATCTTTTCCAAACTTTATGTAAAAATATATTTGAAAGTGAAAATGGATTTTTCTAGTGTTTGTTTATTGGCTTTTACTTAAGTGTTAACATAAAGTTGTCCAGAAAAAAAAAAAAACTTATTTGGTGTCAAATACAATGAAATGAAATAAAGAGACTCTTGAATCTAAACCTACTATTTGTTGGGAAATCTGAAGATGAAACGCTTAATCTTTAAAGTCTTACTTAGACTTATTTTCTTCTTTCTCTACCCCATTCCCCAAATACACAATGTCATTCATTATTTACCACTAAGGCCTTTTACCATTACAATATTCATCAAAATCTTTCACATATAGTTTTCACAATTATAATATCCAATTTCCCCTCCCTTTTTTTGCCTTAATTCTAACTCATCTCTAGAGCTGGATCTCAGAAGCTACTCTTCTCTGAAGTCCACTTTGATTTCCCTAGTTTCTTAGGTGTTTTTTTCCTTTATTTAAAAAAAAAAATTTTAATGTTTATTTATTATTGAGAGACAGAGAGAGACAGAGCATGAGCATGGGAGGGGTGGAGAGAGGGAAAGACACAGAATATGAAGCAGGCTCCAGGCTCTGAGCTGTCAGCACAGGGCCCGAGGCAGGACTGGAGCTCACAAACTGCGAGATCATGATCTGAGCCCAAGTCGGACGCTTGACCTTAATCGACTGAGCCACCCAGGTGCCTCTCTTCTGTGTTCTTTTAGCACTTTGGATCCTCCTCCTTTTCCATAATAGCCCCTCAATTCTACTCATGTAACATTTGGGAAGGGGTAGGTGGGACTCAGCCGGGTCTCAGAAACTTAATTCATCCATTGATGTTATAACATCTTGTATCAATGAACATTCAGGTAGATCAACTATGGGCCATTCATAGCTCTCTGTGCCTCAGTTTCTTCATCTTTAGAATGAAGATAATAGGAAGCGTGGGTGGCTCAGTCGGTTAAGCATCCGACTCTTGGTTTCAGCTCAGGTCATGATCTCACAGTCATGGATGGAGCCCTGCATCAGTCTCTATGCTGAGCTTGGAACCTGCTTGGGATTCTCTGGCTCCCTCTCTCTTTGCCCCTACCAGGCTTGCTCACTTTCAAAATAAACAAATAAACATTTATAATAAAAAAAATAAAATATAATGAAGATAATAAGATGATACCTAATTCTAAGGTGGTTATAAAAATTAAATCAATTAAAATTTGTAAAGCCTTTGCAGCATTACCTAACATCTAGTAAGCACTTGTAAGTACTTATCCCTAAAGAAAATAAAATATATGAATAAATATTTTCCGGTTATACTATTTGAAGAAACTGCTCTGCTGTTAGGAACTCTTGAAGGTTACAGCTGTGTAAAATCTGGGCAAAGAAATTATGAATCCTTCGAAGTTTGCTCTTTTTTCAAATATTATCTGATACACCATTATTGATCTATTTTTATGAGGCCTCTTTGAAAGTATATCAATTGCATATTTGAAAGTTTTTAGCAAAGAGATGTATTTCTGAGTGCTGGGGGAAGGAGCAATGCAGCTGTGATCATCTGGAAGAAAAAAACACAGTGGCACAAACATTTTGGACAGCAAATCCCTTGCCTCAGCAGTTTTTCTGCAAAAATCAGGATAATCACTCAACCAGAACATTTCAATAATCAGAATGCCCCATTCCCTGCATGCAGGTTAACTAATGTACTATTGAATTATATTTTCTGGAGCAGCCAGATGAAACTGGCAGGCTGAGAATGGCATGCAGCATACGAGGATTTATTTGTATATACAAAACAGATTTGTGTTCCTTTCAGACTTGCTATAAGCTTAGGAACTGCTAAATCAGAGTTCTGGGAGTAACTCCAAACCCAGACAATTTCTCAGAAATGGCTAGATCTGCTGCTGCACCAATCTCCAGATGGCGATTCCACATTTCATTTTCCTCAGATTTTGTGTTCAAATCATGGCCTTAGAGGTGAGACTGTTTCTAAGGCCCAAACAATTAAAATTTTTCAATATATAGTGAGGGGGAAAACATCTAAGACAAGTGAGTGGGAAAAACAGAAAGCTAAAAATATTTCAGCTAAAGACATTAGTCTTTTACGATATAAAGCAGAAAGGCCAGCCCCATCCAACAGAACTTCCTGTGATAATGGAAATAGACTACAATTGTACTGTCCAATATGGTAGCCACTACCCACATGAGCTATTAAGCAAATGAATTTCAGGCTAGCGCAACTGAGGGACTGAATTTTTTATTTTCACATCTCCTGAGTAGTAGCTGGCAAAGGCAATTATCCTCATTTTCCAGAGACAGGAGAAGAAATGAATGGCATACTCAGTGTTAATCAGTGTGACAGGGATATCACTAAGAATTGGGCATATATGCATGGGCAAACTAAATGTGTAGTTTTTGAGGGAACATCAGGCTAACATAATTACTTAGGGCAAGATTTAGGAATGTTTAAGAAGAGTTGGGACTCAGATATGATTTTACTATTTTGGTAATTCCCGATTCCTTTGGAAAAGTGGAAGTGGTTAACACAATAATGTGTTCAATCATTTTCAATGATTTTTTTTCATTAAAATTTTAACAAGTCTCTGCTACAAAGTACTTAAAGATATACTGATAGATATACTGAACCCATGAAGGCTATAGTCAAAGGAAGGAAAGATGATATTCCAGCACAGTAAAAGGAATGGGGCTAGGCTGTAATTCAGAGTTCTCTAGGACAGAAACACCAAAACACCATTCTGGGCTGGCTGACCCTGCAGGGAGGCTTGATGTTCAAGCAGCATATAAGCTGGGCTTTAAAGGATGGATAGGAGCCTATCCATGGGGCACCACCATGTAGAACATGCTCCTTTGTCTACCTGGGGGCAGTGGGCCAGGGTTCACCAAGCCACAGAGCAAATTGGTAGCTTCCTGGAGTTTCGGTTATACTTAATAGCAAGTGATTTGAAACATTTCAAGTATTAAAATAAATGAAGATTTATTAAAAATCTCAAAAAAATCTGTATGAACTTTTCCTATAAATAGGAGACTTCAAAGAAAACTTGGCTCACTCAGGGCAGGCAGCTTTGGGGCATACCTAGAGACACCTCAAGGGTGTCCATTTCCTTTCCTCTGCTCTAAGTTATGCTTTAGATAGAAGGCACCAGACACACTTGGGAAATAACAATAGATAATGCAGGGCTCCTGAGGGATGGAGAAAGAGGTTAATGCAGGTGCTGTGTTGATGGGTTGCAGGGGTGCCATGACATATCAGTCCCTTCATCTTTGGGCTAAGGGATGGTCAGAGGCCCAAGTCTAATCCTTTCAGCCCTGAGTAGTCTCATCAGGACCCTAATTTTCCTACAGTTTACCCCCATTGACCCGATACAATCATTTTCTGTGTCATGATGGGGATAATGCTGGCATGCACTTCTTTAAGCAAAGGTTATCTCTGTAGTTATAGATATGAAGCCAGGATAAAGATAATCACCTCCTCACTAAGTATACAGAAAATCCTTCTTCCAACTTCCACCTTTCCTTTCTGCCACCACTTTCTCTCTTTGACCACGTAGAGATGGATTTAAACTACATTCATTCAACCATGGAGAAAAGTAGAAATGTTTTACACAAGTAAGATTAAACAATAAAATGGCCAGTGGGAGTATAGATTTGTATATCCTCTTAATAGGGTAATTTGGCAATAGATATTCAAATGTTAAATGTCTGTACCATTTGATTCAGCAATATCTCATCCAAGAATTCATCCTGCAGATATGCCTATACATGTATGGAATGGCCCCAAGGACAGGAGCATTCATTGCAGATGAAAGAATTGGAAAAAAAAATGTTGGGGATGATTAAACCATGAACTGGTTAAATAAATTATGGTGTAATCCATAAAATTGAATACTATATAACTTTTTTAAAGGCCGAGGAAACTGTATATGCATTGAAATGGTTACTTTCTATAATTTGTTGTCAAGTCAAAAGAGCAAGGTGTAAGAGCATGTCTGGTGTATATAAAAAAATTGCTATGGGCTCACCAAACCCATTTCATTTTTGTCCTGGTCAGACACCTGACTTCATTTCCTTGTAGTCAGGTGGGGCCATATGACAGAGATCTAGCCAAATAAATATGGACAAAAGTAATATAAATTATTTCCAAGCCTGGTCCCTAAAAACCCCCTAGATCTTCCATGCTCTATTCCTTTCTTTGTTAGTTCATCATAAAGAGCATTTGGCAGAGGTCCCAAATCCCTAGGGACTGGCAGAGCCACTAGATTAAAGGAAGTTGGGATGATTAATTGCTACTGGAGAAGACTAGTACTCCCTTTACTGGCCCAAAGGCCAAACTGGATTGGGACATGAGCAAGAAGTAAACCATTATTGCCTTAAATCATGGAGATTTGGGGGTAGCTGGTTAAAGCATTTTGCTTATTCAAGGGGATGCAAAAAAGGGGATGCAGAATATTTACATACATATATTTGCATACACACACATAAACTATTGGTTGTCTCCAGTGAGACTA